GAGTCAGGAAAATCTAAGTCAGAAGGCGTGCGACCTTGTAGAACAAGTTCCTTGTCTAACCCTCAGTTTCTTCATCTATAAAATGGAAATAATAATATCAACCTTACAAGATTCTCGGGGGTAAAGGAGATTATATATGTAAAATGTTATTATATCATCTATTTATTTGAGAGAGAGAATGAGAGAGAGAGAGAGAGCATGAGAGGGGGGAGGGTCAGAGGGAGAAGCAGACTCCCCGCTGAGCAGGGAGCCCGATGAGGGACTCGATCCTGGGACTCCAGGATCATGACCTGAGCCGAAGGCAGTCGCTTAACCAACTGAGCCACCCAGGCGCCCCTGGTCCTCACTGCTATTAACAGTCTCATTGCTATACCACAATCCTGTTGCTTTACTCAGTTTTGCCTACAGCCCAAACAGACTCAACATGCAATTAGATGGTACTTCTCTCTACTTTCTCCCAAGGAGTTCCATTTACACACGGATGTAATTAACCCTTTTTGCAGAAGATCCAGCTGGGCCCGAGCTTGGGGCTGCACTGAGGAAATAACAGAACCATCTATGTCAGTCGTTCTTGACCCTAGCTGAAAATCAGGATCACCTGGAGAGTTAAAAACAAAAATAAAGAAATAAGCAAACAAAACTAAAGAACAAGATCTCAAAGGTCACTGAACTAGAGATTTTGATTTAATAGGGCCCAAGCATCAGTGTTTCTTAAAACTCCCCGATGTGATCATAATGTGCTGCTGAGAGCCACAGTTCAATGTGGGAAAGATTAGTACTTCCATTTCCTTTGGGACAGAGAAAGCTTTTACTTTTCTATAATTCCCACCATGGTAGAGGAGGGGAAAGGACTAAAGATTATCGTTGAATTATTCCGCTTATGATGTGAATAAGACATTGTCATTATGTACATGGAGAAATGACTCATCACGTTAATCCTCTGGTCAGTGTTGTGGTTTCTCATCTAGAAGTGTCTGATCTGGTAAGAGAAGTGATCAGAAATGCACTAGGACAGGTAAGGAGCTAGTCTGGAAACACCTGTGAGGGATTCATGTTGGCTGGCGGTGTCTCTCCCGGGCCACCACTGTGCACATTCGCACACCCACTGGCTGGTTGCACTTGGGTTCAGGGCAAGTGAAATGATCCCTGCTTTGGCATAAAATTTAGCTAATATCTAAATACCGGAGATAGCTGGTGACAGCTGAGAGTGTGCTCAGACATAAGTACATCTAAAAAGTGTAACTTTTCCCCCATTATTAAAGTAATACACACAAGAAAATATAGAAGATCATGAAAACAGAAAAGTAGAATGAACCATAGTAGAAAATAATAATTATGACTAAGACCTATTATTATATAGTTACCAGGTTCTAAACCCTCTATCATATCAATTCGTTGACCCCTCACTACAACTCTATGAGGTAGATAACTATTTGTATCTCCATTATACAGGCAAGGAAAGAGCACTTGGAGACGTTAGGTGGTTCGCCTACAAAAGGCAAGACAAGGTTTGGACTCATGCTGCATATAACAGGGTATGGTCAACCTCAGAGATAGAGGTCATAGGGATTCAATACCAGTTGCTAAAGTTTAGAAAGGTAATCTCATTCATGTTGTCAATCACTCATCCATTTATTTCATAAATATTTATTGAGGGCATCTATGTGCAGCATACTGTTCCAGGCTTGATTATGAAGATACTGAGGAGTATACAAAGTCTACCTATTATTCCTAAAGCATTGAACTCTCAGGTGTCTCAACAGAATAATACATGTAGAAGGAACACAAATTTAGTAAGATTTAAAAATGCTCCCAACTATTCCCTGATAACAAAATCCAAAGCCAGTACTTCAAAACTTTTGGAATAGCACACACTTCTGTGATGGAATGTTTAGCATTGTCCTCTGTATTTTCATCAGTTAATAAACACACCTTGGACAATAATTTAAATTGAATTTCATGAATTTGGCTTTGTAGAAACATGTTTAACATGGCAGTTGTGTCTTCAACTCAGAAATTTGGCTTCTTGGATGGTTGGATGGATGGATGGATGGATGGATGGATGGATGGATGGACAGATGGACAAATGGCTAGATGAAAGGACAGATGGGTGAATGAATAGAAAAGAATGCTTGGCAATGTTCTAGGGGCTAACAAATTGCACTTTTACAAGATTATGTAGTGTTTTCCAGCTTGTTGAATAATAAATTATGACACAGGAGAACATTTTGATTTCCATCCTTTCTATGGACTAGATAGGTAACCTCAAGCAAGTTGTTATGGTTCTGGGTTCCATCTGATTGTTGTGAGGGGTTAAAAGAGGTAAAGTAAATGAATTACTTAGCAGCCTGCCTACTACATGTTAAACAATCAGCATGTTTTAAACTGCTTACCTTGAAATTGAAGTAATATATGTAAAAAAGCAAAAATTTAAATGATACAAAAAACTACACAATAAGTCTCTTTTGGCAGTTTTCTGCTGTTATTACTACTACTATTAGAGACCTCCAAGCAAAAATAACATTTCGCTCTTGATTAAGAGAGAGGTTTACAGACCAGTAGATAACATTGTTTGAATCAGAACCAAGTGAAATAACACAAGTATTCTGGCTAAATTCCAGCGTGAGTGATTAACATTCTCCAACTTCAAATAATTTTTATTATTAGCCACCACTTGTCCATCCCCAATAATACACACGTTGCATAAAGGGCACAGAATGAGACAGCCCTTGCTTGGCATGTTCACAGTCTGCACATACTTTCCACTGAGGGTTTCCCTTTCTTTCTGATTACTATTCCATAGCTTTTCAACTCCCACTACTTTCAACCCTGGGATGTTTGCCGACCCAGAGCGCCAAGTGTTTCCAAAACACAAAAGAGATGAAATATGAACACCTGTAGAATTTCAGGGAATTAAACATGTAAGGTACATTTTAAACATATTTATTAATAGTTTTGATGCTTGTGAAACAATAGTATTTATTCACTTTAAACTTTGAGTCTGGGATTAATGCACATATTCTTCATTATTGTTCACAAAGCCTTGTTGATACGCAAGAGGGAGAGGGCTATTCTGCAATTCAGTCTCCCAGTCTGTACAAACGGGATCGAGGAGAGGAGAACGACAATGACTGTGGTCTATCTATCTCAACCCTTTAGTCCAGTCCTGACTCCTTGAAGTACCCAGGCCCTCCTGCTTTTTTTCCTCCTTCCCAGAGGAAGGAAGGGGTGGGGGAGCGGGAAACAATTCAAACCCTCTTTGTAAGCGTGTGAATGAATTTCAAGAATGCTAAACACCTCAGTCTCTTCCAACCTAATTAGAACGCGTAGAAAAGAGGCATTTTTAGGACATTTAAAACTTGCAGCATAATAACCTATCTGGAGAGCGCCACTGTGTGTCCCAGCAGCCGGGGCACCCAGCGGGCCCTCTCGCGGGCGGGGACTGCTCCTTGCGCCCCAGCTCCCCAGAGGCGCGAGGGTACGCGGCTCAGCAGCAGGCAGCCCCGGGGGGCCAGGCGCCCACCCATTACCGAGCCGAGAGCCAGCGCCGCTTCTCCCTGCAGGCGACTTGGGGACTGCCTGGGATTTTAAACTTCGACTGATAAAGGACTAACATCTCTCGAGTCTTCTGTGACGAAATGCTAAAGTAAAGGTTGAAGACAGGAGGATACAGAGAGTACATGGCGGGGTGGGGGGAGAGTGGTTACCAGTGGGATGCAGCTACGTAGGTTCGAATCCCGAGTTACCCTTTGAGCGCCTACTATGTGCCAGGCGCTCGGAATACCGGGGTGAAGATTGCCTATGTTGCGGCTTTCTTGGGAAAGTATTTGCTCGGTTGCCTTGGTCAAGTTTCAAAACCTTTGTTCCCTCACCTGTAAGGAGTACCTGTCTCACAGAACTGTAAAGATCTGAGATCTTGTATTAAGATACAAACGATTAACGCGCTATCTGGCACACAGTAGGGGCTCAATAAGCCTTGGCTCTTCTCTCAGCGTGAGCTCACCTGGTATGAGGACAGCGCAGAGCGGAAACAGGTGCCACGGTTAAGAATGCTTCTTCGAGCAGTTCTTTTAAACAAGCGCTGGAAGCTAAGGATTTTTAGCTGCAGAGAGACCTGGCAGGGGCTCTGGAAGCAAGGGTTCATGAGCTAGTCTACTACGGGAAAGTGAGCCCCGGACCCGCGGGCACCCGCAGAGAACTCGGTAGGAACTTCCAGCAAAGGTTTCCCGCCCGGGGTCTCGAGAAGGAGAGATTAGCATTCGCCCCGCCCCCATCGCTTTCCGGCCCGCTATTGGCCCGCGCTCCCCAGCGGCCCGCTCCGGGCGGGGCCGGAGGGCGCCGCGGGAGAGGCCGAGCCCGCGGGGCAGTGGGCGGGGACGCACGGAGAACGTGGCGGGGCGGCCCACCAACCGAGCCCCAGCGCGAGGGGGCGGGGAAGGGGCGGGGCCTCCCGGCGGGCTTTAGAGGCAGGTGACCCGGGCGGGGCGGGACAGGCCAGTCAACCCGCGTCCGAGTCTCCGCTGCCATCGCCGAGCGCGCGCCGTTCTGTACCCGCGGGAGGTGGGCGAAAGAGTGAGAGAGCGCGGGGGAGGAGCCGAGCCGGGCGCGTCCCGGGAGCGCCGCCACCGCCCCCAGGAGTCCGCTGGAGCGCGGAGCCCCCTGCAGGGGAGGAGGCGAGCAGCGGGCTGGACGCGGCGGCGGGCTAGCACCATGCAGTCCCGGCGGTGCCAGCGCCGGCTGCTCGCGGTGCAGTGAGGCAGCGGGATCCCCCGGCTGCCGCACACCGCCTTCCTCTCGCCCAGGTGCTGCCAGGCGCGCTCGCCCTTCGTCCGGCTCCCGGACCCCGGTGGAACGCACGGCCTGCTCCTGCTCTGCCCCGCTCGGATCATGCGGGGGGCCCCGGAGGAGGAGAGGGCGAGTGACCGGCCTGCGGCGACCGCGCTCAGGGTGCGACCCCCTCTCTGAGACGCCCCACCTGCTGCCATGTGCCGCGCCTCGGATACCCAGCCTATCGTCAAACTTTCCGGGTGCCAGCCCGTCTCTGAGTCGCATTTCTGAGCGAGTGTCCCAGGGACGGAGCACCCAGGCTGCCTGCCGACAATCTGTTTCTCTCGGGATCCGCGAAGGTGAGAGCCCGCGCCTGCCCCTTTCTCCCCGTTCTTTTCCCGGTTCCTCAGCCCTTTTTCGGGCGGCTGAGCTCTCCGACCCCGGGGTACAGCCCGGAGGGCCCAGTGTGGAGGGAGGCGGGGGGTGGCGATGGGCTGGGAGTCAGTAGTTTGGTTCCCGGAGGTGGAGGGGAGGGAAGGGAGAGAGGTTAACTTAGAGATTTGGAGAGCGCTTGCGGGGACTGTGTCGTTGACTCCCCTCTAATTGGGAGTGGTTGCAATTTTTCTTCTCCCCCAGCTTCTTTTTTAGAGAGTACTTTCCCTGGAACCGGAGCCCTAACCGTCCCTCCCCACCCTATCTGGCGAAGAGCTGAGCGCTGCCTGCGGAGGCAGCGCCTTCCCGAAACAGTTTATCTTTGGACGAATTTAAGAGAAAAAGAAACCAACAGGTTGCCAGCCGCGGCGCCACACACAAGTCGGCGGAAAGGCCGGCCCGGTTTCCCCTGGCTGCGTGGGCCCCGCGCGGGCTGCGGCAGGCAAAGCGAGGGGAGGGAGGGGGCTATGGCTCGGCCTGACCCGTCCGCACCGCCCTCGCTGCTGCTGCTGCTCCTGGCGCAGCTGGCCGGCCGGGCGGCTGCTGCCTCCAAGGCCCCCGTGTGCCAGGAAATCACAGTGCCCATGTGCCGCGGCATCGGCTACAACCTGACGCACATGCCCAACCAGTTCAACCACGACACGCAGGACGAGGCTGGGCTGGAGGTGCACCAGTTCTGGCCGCTGGTGGAGATCCACTGCTCGCCGGACCTGCGCTTCTTCCTGTGCTCCATGTATACGCCCATCTGCCTGCCGGACTACCACAAGCCGCTGCCGCCCTGCCGCTCGGTGTGCGAGCGCGCCAAGGCCGGCTGCTCGCCGCTCATGCGGCAGTACGGCTTTGCCTGGCCGGAGCGCATGAGCTGCGACCGCCTCCCGGTGCTGGGCCGCGACGCCGAGGTCCTGTGCATGGATTACAACCGCAGCGAGGCCACCACGGCGCCCCCCAGGCCCTTCCCGGCCAAACCCACCCTCCCGGGCCCACCTGGGGCCCCGGCCTCCGGGGGCGAGTGCGCCGCCGGGGGCCCATCGGTGTGCAAGTGCCGCGAGCCCTTCGTGCCCATCCTGAAGGAGTCGCACCCGCTCTACAACAAGGTGCGCACGGGCCAGGTGCCCAACTGCGCGGTGCCCTGCTACCAGCCCTCCTTCAGCCCGGACGAGCGCACGTTCGCCACCTTCTGGATTGGCCTGTGGTCTGTGCTGTGCTTCATCTCCACCTCCACCACGGTGGCCACCTTCCTGATAGACATGGAACGCTTCCGCTACCCTGAGCGCCCCATCATCTTCCTGTCCGCCTGCTACTTGTGCGTGTCGCTGGGCTTCTTGGTGCGCCTGGTGGTGGGCCATGCCAGCGTCGCCTGCAGCCGCGAGCACAGCCACATTCACTACGAGACGACAGGCCCTGCGCTGTGCACTGTCGTCTTCCTGCTGGTCTACTTCTTCGGGATGGCCAGCTCCATCTGGTGGGTCATCCTGTCGCTCACCTGGTTCTTGGCAGCTGGAATGAAGTGGGGCAACGAGGCCATCGCGGGCTATGCACAGTACTTCCACCTGGCCGCGTGGCTCATCCCCAGCGTCAAGTCCATCACAGCGCTGGCACTGAGCTCCGTGGACGGGGACCCGGTGGCCGGCATCTGCTACGTGGGCAACCAGAACCTGAACTCGCTCCGCGGCTTCGTGCTGGGCCCCCTGGTGCTCTACCTGCTGGTGGGCACCCTCTTCCTCCTGGCGGGTTTTGTGTCGCTCTTCCGCATCCGTAGCGTCATCAAGCAGGGCGGCACCAAGACGGACAAGCTGGAGAAGCTGATGATCCGCATCGGTATCTTCACGCTGCTCTATACGGTGCCGGCCAGCATCGTGGTGGCCTGCTACCTGTACGAGCAGCACTATCGCGAGAGCTGGGAGGCTGCGCTCACCTGCGCGTGCCCAGGCCCTGACGCCGGCCAGCCGCGCGCTAAGCCCGAGTACTGGGTGCTCATGCTCAAGTACTTCATGTGCCTCGTGGTGGGCATCACGTCGGGCGTCTGGATTTGGTCCGGCAAGACTGTGGAGTCGTGGCGGCGCTTCACGAGTCGCTGCTGCTGCCGCCCGCGGCGGGGCCACAAGAGCGGCGGCGCGACGGCCGCCGGGGACTATGAGGCGAGCGCAGCGCTCACGGGCAGGACCGGGCCGCCGGGACCCCCCCCAGCCGCCGCCGCGGCCGCCGCCTACCACAAGCAGGTGTCCCTGTCTCACGTGTAGGAGGCCGAGGCCCACAAGGGCCGGGAGTTGGGGGGTGGGGTGGGGGGTGTTTTGTTTGGTAGCTTTGCCAAGTTCACTTCCGTTTACCTTCATGGTGCTGATGCCCCCTCCTGGGGCAACCTGGAGAGAGGGGAAAGGGGCCCTTTCAAGGGAGCACCTGTCCCAGGACTTCTCAAAGGGGCTCAGCTCACGTGTATTCTATTTTGCGTTTCTTACTACCTTTTTTTTTTTTTAGGGGAACCCTGTTTTTAATTTATATGTAGTTTTCTTAATTTTAAACTTTGTTGCATTTTGGCAACAAAATTTACCTTTGCTTTGGGGGCTTTACAATCCTAAGGTTGGCATTATAATGAAGTTCCGCTTGGTTCAGGTTTCTTTGAACTGTGTGGTCTAAATTGGGAAAATATATTTCCTATACTTGTGTCTTTAAAAAAAAATGTGAACAGTGAAAGTTTAGGTTTCTATGACTGGGAAGTGGTTGGGTGTGCTTTCTCAGCTTGTTTTCTCCTTTCATTGCTTAAAGTGTCCAAGATGCTTTAAGGTGAGCTGCTTGTCTCTGTTTATAGTCCCTAAGTTAGGGGAAACCCCAATTCATGCCAAGGAGGGGGAGCATAATGTGGTGAGGGCCTCCCCAATGTGACAAGGTTAGAGAGTGTTTAACGATTTTGTGTGCTATCCTAGCTTTGTTTATTTATCGAGCTTCGGTTTCTTTTCTGTAGTGCTTGTAATCATTCTTATTCTTAACAGCACCCAGTGTTGTCTTGAATAAGTTAGAGGTGGCCTTATAGAGTGCCGGTATAAATATTTGGAAAAGTGAAAACCTAAGGGATGGTGATTGGTTGAGTTCTAGACTGGTAAAATGGCAGCTTTGTGCCCCAGAAGGAGTGGGTGGTTCTTAATAGGCTTCAGTGATCCCAATTTTTTAAAAAGAATTTGTGTTCTGATTTTGGTAAAAGTAAACCCCCACTCCCTTCTTCTGGAAGTACTTAGAGATAGCTGTTAAAGGGGCTGCTTTTTAGATGTAAGGACTAAAATGGATATACCTCCAGTAATTAAGTAAATTTCCAACACTTCTCTTATCTGCTCCACCCCCATCCCACCTCCTTTATCATGTTAAACAGTCTTTTTGCTTTTCTTATTCCTCCTCTCCTGGAGAGCTGTGATTAAGAAACCACACCCACCCTTGAATGGGGTGCTTGAACTGGGGGGAGGGAGGCTGGCTACCTGTGAACAAACATTGGCAGCAATGAGGGAAAATAAGTGTCCCTGGACTTTGGACTAGTTTAATAGCCAGATATTCCCAAAGCAGCAAAACATGGCTTTCTGCAGTCTCTCAAAACAAATGACACCCATAATACACTTGCGTAAGCTTTTAAAATGTGGATCAGGGTCCTGCTACTGCAGGAGGAAAGCTGTTCTCTCTCCCCCACGTCAATTTGTTTCTCTCTCTCTCTCTTTTTTTTTCTGAGAAAGCACACACTTTTTTTCTGATGAGCACACGCATGCATCCACATGCAAATACACATGCACTTTGCTATTAGAGAATTCTGTTTGCGTTCCTAAATCTGTTTAACCATTCATATATGAAAGCCTATATATGAAAACACACACACACACACACACACACACACACGAGTTTCTTTACTATTAAAGAATTCTGTTTGCTTTTCTAATCTGTTTAACTGTTCCTTCATGAAGAGTGTGAGGCCACAGCTTGGGGAAGGAGGTGATAGTGCATTGGCCAGCAAAACACCAGTAACCAGGGTTGAGTGGGGACTACATTTAGGAAGCTAAAACGGCAAAAAACAATTAGAATTTTAGAATGGTTCCCTAGGAAAATGACGAGTCTAGGCATTTGTCCCTCATTTATACCAAAGTTGGAAAAGTAAGATTTAAATCCAGGTCAGTTTTCAGTTCATGGGTATTAAGGAAAGAAATGCATAGTTCCCATAGTGAATTGAAACTCTTCGCTGCAGGGAGAAGCCTAGTATTGTAGTTTTACAGACTCTCAAAAGCTTTTATGTTTATAAAAATGCACAAGTTAAAATTTCAGTAGATTCAACAAAACTTAGTACATAGAGCTACAGAACTTTTTGCACATCTTATTCCTGCCCTTATTCAGAAGCTGCTTTTTAGAACCTTGGAGTAGATTCCCTGTCTGAGGGCCAGTTTCTTCTGTTTTTCGTCAGATGAGGACCTTTCATGATCACCTTGACTTCTTCCCTCATTTAGTATGTCTTCCCAGAAAGTACATAGATTGTTCTGCTGCCTTCAGTCATTGTGCTTAATTTGCCTTTGTCCCCCTTACTTCTTTTTCTTTGTGGAGGAATGCAGATATGATGCACAACATATCTAAAAGTTGTGGCATGAAATGGATGAAAGTGGATTAATTCTTCATTTTAAAAAATTCTTTTTTCATTTTGGCAACATGCCAAGCCTAAAAGAACAACCAATTTACTTTAAAAACAAAAAAAACAAGGCTGCTGACAAAGGATACTCAGCCAAGGAGAGGCAATATAGGTAATGCCTTTTGGGGTCTAGTTGCAGAACTAACTTTCAGAGGTGTCCCTTTGTTTTCAGCCTGTGTTCTCACCGATGCCCTTCCTCTCCCTTCCCTCAAAGATAAATTACCACCTGCTTCCCGCAAGTCTTACTACTGTCAACCACCCCACCCCTACCCAGGGGAGAGAGGTTGGATCTATTTATGGTCACCCTCTACTTCCATCTCACACACTGTTTTCCCCTGATTTGTATTTTTATTATGCAAACAATCCATACTCATGAAAACAAATAAAAGGAAAGGTTGTGTTTGTGTTGGGTGGGGGGGGCAGTCTAGCAACTTCTTCACAGATAGCTTTGTGAAGTTGGAGAGGATTTATGGTTCAGTTTAATGTCACATGCCCCTTTCACGGTTCACTTTTGAGCACTGTCTCACTTCATAGATTGGGGGTGAAGATTTAGAAGGTTGTCTAAAGGAACTAATGTGACCTCTTAGTGAATCAGTTGGCCAGACTTTAGGAAGGCTCTTTAACTTATATTATTTCCCTCCTCACATTTTGATGTTGTCTAAATTGGCTGAAAATAATTTTTCTTGGTGCCTTATTGGTTTATCTTTGCAAACCTTTGTCATCTTTCCACATGACCGTTCCCAGTGACAGGCCTGTGTGTGTGTGTGTGTGTGTGTGTGGTGTGTAATTGTACGCATGTACAAGCTTAAATAATGTGCCAACAGCACTGTTTCCAAGTTGGTATTCATTAGGCTGTTTCCTCCTGGGCCAGGGCTGCACTAATCCTGACACAGGCTGCCGGGAGAAAACCTCATGGATCCCACACTGAACCTTAATAACAGCATCCGTGACCTGCACTCTCAAGTACAGAATGGGAACCCCAGAGCTAGGAAATGTAGTTGTATATTTTAATGAACTGCTATCCCTGCTAAAGAGGCTTCTTTCACTTTTGTGCTCTACAGAAAGACCAAGGGGGGTAGGAGAGACAAAGCTTTGAATAACTGCTTTCTAACACCAAATGTGGCAAACAGGACAGAGAACATCACAAATCTAGGCAGGTGTGAGGTACAGTGGCTGAGAATTGCCTGCTCCCTCTCTCTGCATGCCCTTTCTTGCCTCCCAAGTCCAATCAAGTGATCCTGGGAAGAAAATATGCCTGGAGTGGGGGAGGGTGATTCTGAGGGGAAAAAAGCTACCAAGACATTAAAGCCGGGCAAAGGGTGGGCAGGATGGAAGTAACTAAGTTACCTGACTCAGAACACTTAAAACCTTCTAGCAGCTCAGTGACAATTACAGGATTTATTTCAGCCAGGATAATGTCTGTGGTACATCATTTTGAGACAAAATTACTTCATGTTGTTACAAACTGTATGTATAGTATGTGTGTGTTGTGGGTGTGTATATACATAATATATATTATATATATGAGAGATTTAGTGACTTTTGATACGGGTTTGGTGCAGGTGAATTTATTACTGAGCCAAATGAGGCACATACCGAGTCAGTAGTTGGAGTCCAGGGCATTCAGTACTTTCTGATGTTCATATATGTATAGTGCCTGTCACGCAGCGTTCTCACTGTCGTGTCAAATCCAGAACTCACAGATCAGAGCCAGCGATATTTTATTTGTAGACAATCAACTTGAATCTATAAATTATTATTGGCAGATGATTATAATTCTGAATCCGTAACATTAACAAAAGGAAACCCAGAGCATTTTGATAAGAAGTTTTTGTTTCTTGTTTTGTTCCTGGAAGTCCATAGAACAGCAGTCGTATGTGGTTATGTTAGTCTCAAGATACTTAATTTGCTGACCTTATTATTTCAGAAAAGATTTTGTATGTATTATATTTGTGGGAAGGTAAAATAATGGTTTGAAATTTTTATCAAATATGGAGAGTAGTTATTTATGAAAAACAAAGAAATGTCTATTTTTGTTTCTTTGTTCCCAATTGATGTAGATAAATTTTAAAGTGCATTAAAGCAATGGTAAAGAAAATAAAAAGATGCTGTACACGTCTTTTTCTCCTTAGGCTTTTATGGAGACACACACTTCTTCCTAAGAGTACCTAAGGAGATAGGTGGATTCTGACTTCATAATCAGATTTCTCAGATGTACTTAAAGCGGCAATGTTTTTATTAATATGAAAATCAAGCAAATTCCAATCACCAGAAGCAAAACTAATGGACACATTAGTTTTACTTGAATATACTTCATAGGTTTCTCCTGCCGATCCGATTGTATCATGATTCACTTGAAGAAATGAAGGGAAATACACGTAAGACCAGAGACATTGCCTGAGATTGTGTTCTCTTTCATCAACCCTCCAACCGTACTCTCTACTGAACCTCTTTGAATAGAGGTGATGCTGTTGTTTTGTGTGTCTGGTTGGGGGGCAGGGACTCTCAAAACTGTTTATCAGTCAGCAGTTAGCCCCCCAGTGTAGTATCAAGCTCTAAATACAAGTCAGGGAGCCCAGATAAGAGGATAGAAATTGATTTCAAGTTGGCACCTCCCTGATAATCAGGATGGATGCTTAGTAAACCTGAGACACGACTGCACCGTCAAATACTTTCTGCTGGCTCCTGTTTTGGCAAAGTGCAGATTGGCCACCAGGCTGTGAACCACTGCCTCATGTTCATGCCCAGTGTGTCCATGTTCTCCCGCAAGGCTCCGGGGCCTACGTACGTAGGAGGGGCTGGGTCATTAGGAGCTGAAAATTTTGTTGGGGGGAAATCAGACAAATCCAATAAGGGGTGAATAACGATATGAGAGTATGTAATTTAATGTCAGAGTGAGTGCTGTGAACGCTAATCAGATTCCTACAGTAGTTTGGGCAGTTGGGAGAAGCAGAACGGAAAATACACTAGGTGAGCTGGATCCTGACCAAAGAGCAACGGTACCTTCCACACACAGGACTCTGTGGTTGGCGCATCTTCCCGGCACTTTCGCATTGCTCACTTCCCCCCATTGGAAAGGGGGGTCGGGACAAAGCCACAAGCTAGAGCCAAAGGGGCCGTAGAGACCTAGCAGGTTGAAGAAATAGGTGGGTCCAGGGTATTATTGGTAATAATTCTTGTAGTGATCCAGAGGTCTTTAGTTTTTCACTAATGGAAACAGGATTGAAAGGCAGTAGAATGGTTATGCTTAAAGCCTTGGCAGCGAGATGGCTAGGGATTCAAGCTCTAGCTCCACCATTTATGGGCTATGTGATCCTGGGCGTATTAATCTTGGAGGATTTCAGTTTTCTCATCTGTGAAAAGGGGATAATAGTACTTATCTTAGGGCTGAGAGGATCTAAAGGATTAGGTCAGGTTAAGGTAAAGCAGGGAAGAAGCAACTGTTCAGTCATGGAATGGAAAGGGAATTGATAGAATCTTTTGGGGTTCCTATTAAAAATGTAGATTCCCAGACTTAAGCTTTAGGAATTGAGATTCAGTAGGTCTGGGGCCCAAGAAGCTGCTGCTCCCCCCGCCCCCTTTTTAGTAAACTTTATTTTGGAATTATTTTAGGTTTACAGAAAAGTTGCAAAGATAATCCAGTTCCTGTATACCCCTTTCCCATTTGGCCCTAACACTAACACATCGTCATAGTACACTGTCCCAATGAAGAAGTCAACACGGGCACATCACTATTAACTCCAGACTTCACTTGGATCTCACCAGATTTTCTACTAATGCGCTTTATCTGTTCTAGGATCCAATCCAGGATTCCACATTGCGTTTAGAGAAGCTTCGTTTCTCATAGGCACTTTCAGCTGATGAGAGGTAGGTGGTCTGGGGACTGTATCTCGAGAAATAAAAGGACAAGTAAAGGACCAGGCAAGGTCAAATTGCCCCATCCTCGCATTGGGAAGGCGCAGTTTTGAAGCAGAAGGGGATAAATTGGTGGAGGGGTGGATATAGAAGGCTGGTGTTAAAAAGTTGGAATGGAATCCCTTCCATAAGGTGAGAGGGCTACCTTAAGAAGTGAGGCATCTATTCCTAATGCCAGATGAAGTGAGTCTTGGAACTGGAAGGTGGGGATGCTCCCGAGACTGAGGAGATGACCTCCAGTTGTGGGCAGGTCAGGGGAGTGAACAAGGGCAGTATTCGGGGAACACCTGCTTGGGGGAAACCAGGAGCTCTCTCAAGTAGATTATAGGGGATTACAAGGGCCGGTTAGCCTGGGAGCCACATAGATCCTGTATTTCCTGCAACCTGGTGCAAATGCTTTGGAAATGGGTCATAGTGGTAACCAACATCCAGCATTGCCACTGGACACTAGCAGAGGGGAGATGATCTTGAGGGAGGACCCTAATCAGCAGCGGGAGGGGGACACACGGAAGATCTGCTTTTGCAACTCCGTTCCAAAGTGAGGAGATAATGGGGCCCCCATCTGGGGAGCTAGAAGGTTAGTAGAATTGAGAATGGTAAGATGATGAAGGAATAGATGTTTTAAGAAAAAGCTAGCAGGGGCATCTGGGTGGCTCAGTCGGTTAAACATCCAACTCTTGGTTTTGGCTCAGGTCATGATCTCAGGGTGGTGAGATCAAGCCCCACCTCAGGCTCTGGGCTGGGCATGGAGCCTGTTTAAGATCCTCTCTGTCCCTCCTCCCCACCTCAATGCTTGATCACTCTCTCTCAAAAACAAAACAAAAAACAACCCACCAAAAAACTAGCAGAATGATTTGAGGTCTTGAAGTGGATGCCATCGGTACCTTCTTGAGGACCTTAGGTTCTGAGGCGATCATCGAATTTCTCTAATTCAGATTACGTAGTTCCCTTCCCAGCAGTTATTAACACCTAACCTGTTCCTTCTTAAAAGAACGTTAATCTTTTTTCCTTTGATGGCAGATTCCTCTTCATTTCTATATGATTTCATTCTTCTTTCTGCACTCTAGAAATCCCCAACCACAAAGTCTGGTATTCTTAAAGTTTGTATCACATTAAGTACATGTTCTTAAAAATAGTGGAAATTGCCTCCGAAACCAAGCCGCTTGCACTTGTATCTACAGGAATAGGCTTTGCTGAAAGGCTCCTAGATCTTTTGCTTTCTTGCTGTCACAGTGTCTGGTCGACCAGGTCCGTAAGTGGCTAACAGTTAAGACTTTAGGCTATCGAATCCTTACCGTCATAGATGCTGCATGTCATCTACAGATTCAAGTGCTTTTCCAAGTAGCTCTGTACTCAAGAATGCCGCTTCTGGGTGAGGCAACAGTTGCAGTCCTATCACATGTGAGTATAGAGAGGTCTTGGTGATGAAAGATTTTAGCTAACTTATATGCTGTGGCTCAACTTTTCCAAAACATTGTATAACATGGATACAGAGTGCATGGTTCTCCCATAAATACTGGCTTCAGCATTCTTTTTTTAAATCAAGGAATAGTGTATTTGCACATATAGGAAAACTAAACCAAGAAATGAATCTTGAACCGTTATAAAACCAAGATTCAGTGGTGTTGGATTTCAATTATGTATGGGCATACATGGGGTACATTAAGAGTAAATGGAAAGAGAAGGTCGTGATGGAATCTGATGATACAGCAAGGAGAAAGTTTCTCTTTAACCAGAAGCATTGGGCCTTAAGAATGTCTTAGGATGAACCATGTCAAACTGCTCATGAGCAGCCATTTTTGACCTACAAAAGTGGCAGTTTCACTTGGTTCAGACACACATTTCAGACCTTTGTCTTTTCCTTGTAAAGACTTAAAAACTCAGTTGACAATATATCAGAGTTGAAGTTTTCACCGGTCAGTAGTCCAATAAGGAAAAAAAACTAAAACTGAAGATAAATGAGGTAGATACTTTTATAGTCTTATTTAGGGAACAAACTCTTCCTAGGTATAAAGCCCTGAGAAAACTGCCATAGTTACTAAACTACTAGTGACCAGTTTCCATGCCTTGTCAGAGAACCTACTAGCTTTCAGGGATGTTTATTACTTTTACCCTGAGTTGACTCAATTTCCCATTTATCAAGATGGCTGTACTGCCATCTAGAATTACAGCCAAGAGGGAAAGAACAATGTGTGATTCTACTTATTCTGCCAACTCGTTCTTGAAGCTAGTCCTGTCCAGGGTTCTTCCAGATTTTTATGTAACCTTTGACTGCTCATGTTAGCACTTCTGCTTAGTAGTTGGCATAGTAAAGGGTACAATCTTACAATGTTTTTGTGAGAGATTGCCCTTCTAAATGAAATCAGATTTAACCCTGTCAGTTTATCAAGAACAAAGTGATCAGCTGCAGATTTGACCTTAGGTAGTGAATTAAGGTGGACAAAAATACAGCAAGACTCTCAGGGTTTACAGAGTATATTGCTCAACCTGAGTGGCTAGTGCCATAAACCTTATGAAGATTTGGCATATTTCTCACTGAAATGTAAGTTTGAAAAGGAGTATTTTAGTCAAAATATGTGGGCTGTTTCTCTTTACAACCACCACAAATCTAGTTCTTCCATTTTCTTTCCTAGGTTTTAACTGCTTAAAATCCCCATATAACTCACATTCTGTTTCTACACTATTCCTGTAATTCCCTTTTCTCTGGTATATTCTAATTTAATCTTCCAGTGTGCTTTTTTTTCCCCTCTTGGTACATTAATGAGCTGTTCAAAGATGCCATCTAATGCACAATGCCTCTGAGTACTGTGGCCAGTGATTTAAGTGTACTAAATGATCTTCAGGTTGAAAAGAGCAGAAGTCAAAGAAATACATAACAACACTGTAACCAGAGGCAAGGGTCAAACCAAATCATGGTCAGCTTGAAAATGCTTTAAGACCCCACTCACCATTAGAGCTGACTGAAAGCACTGAAGTTAGGCAGAGATGTAATGCTATGTGAACTGAGAAAGGTTACAAACACACTAGTCGTATTTTAATTAAAATAGAGTTTATTAGCTTTTAATATAAACATGAGGAAGAAAAACCACGTAAGTTGTAGCATTCTTTTCAAAATAAAACTGCAATCAATACTTGAATCTCCAAGCTCCGAACTCCATTAACAATGTTTTTTGAGGTGGTAGATTGTAATATTTTATATACTGTTATTTATCATTTGTGTGTCCTTTAAAAATGATGGAACCTGCAGCACTCGATAGAATATGAAGCCCTGCTATACTGAGAGAAAGTATTCCTGGCCCAGAAATGCTATGTTTACAGGCAAAATTCTTAGGATTACATTTGAGAAGGTAGGAAAAAGATTTCACATGGTTAAGAACACTAATCTTTTTTTAACATTTCAAGTTTAAGTGACATCATTACCAATCTCCGAGAAGATTGATTACTTAACTCCCTGCCCTTTAAAGCCTGAGGTAAGGGTTCCTCTTAAACAGCAGGACTTGAAATGAGACCCCTCCAGCCAGGTTAACAGGTAGGCTAGAAGAACTGTTTCAGATCACCTACTTTCAGCTCACTACTATTAGAGTCCAGTTCCTTTCGGTTTGTTACATGTGAATTACCACTGCTCTTCATACTCTACAAATGTAGAAAAAAGAAATTCAGGTGACCAAAGCAGGTAAACAGCACAGCCCTGCAAAGAACAGTTTTAAAAAGGGGAGGGCACGTCTATGATGATACAAGGCATCCCTCCATTCTTAATGCAATTTTAAGCTTTGATATCTGTGGAAGGATAAATGCTACAAAATTAGAAAACACCACTTGAAAGTTTAGTTATTTCTTATAAACTTACCCAGTTTTGTCAATTTTAAATATTAAGCTTTTCATTTTAATTTTTTTGTTTCAGCCAATGTGTGCCATCTTCAAGAGGGGCTGAAACAAAAAATTAAAATGGAAAGCTTAATATTTAAAATTGACAAAACTAGGTAAGTTTACAAGAAATGTAATTAAACTTTCAAATGATGTTTTCTAAGTTTAAAGCATTTATCCTTCAGCAGTGCCCCAGAGGGCCCAAGCACACTAGATTAAGGCTTAAAGTTGCACTAAAATTTTTCAGGACACCTTCTTTTCGCTACCTGCTTGTTACCACTGGACCACCATGTTGGTTGGAATTATGAAAATATCCTTTAATACATGTATTTAATAAAGAGGAAAATCATCAGAAAATGAGAAGCACCATTATAGTTCACAAGAAACGCAGCGTGGACCCAATAGAAGTAGATAATCATTGATAACATACTTTCTCTGTTTATGATCCTAAACATACTAATATGCTAATAAGTAGTGCTTGCAAAGAATTTGAATGACAAGTGTTATTCAGCTTTTTGGTTTAAACTGATTGCCAATAAGGACTAGCAGCTTCGATGATAAAGTAGGAAGGAAGAACCCTTCAATACCTAACAATGCTACAGTCTGTTCCTAAGTGGCTTTATGAGTTGTTAGGAGTCCCATGTTTTCACGGTAATACTGCATTGATTCTAAAGAAATATGCAGCAATATGGGGGAAGGGGGGCAAGAAAAATAGGAAAAAAAGTTATATAGTTAGTGTCTTTAAAGTCTAAAAATTTAAACTATTAAAAAAAAACCCTCAGTTCACAGCTATCAGCCTACATAGTAAGCAGGTATCTGTGTGTGGGTTGGAGCTTTTGCTTTGGAGTGGTTTTTGTAACTCTGTTTACATTAAAAAGGACAAGAGTGTTTTGCGTTGACAATGTCCCATTCTTTCCTATGAGCATCATCCTTGCGGTGGATCCACGAGTTTCTTGAATTCGAAGTCTGTCTTTTAGATGAAAATTTTAACTTTGCTGGTTTTTGAGCAGGAGAGGTGGTATTTCTCCAGTCCTTGTAGATTGAGGGGTTCATGATGTTACAACCCCTCCCTTCTCCCTTAAGAGAGGATGGCATTAGAACGCTGAATACCAATGAAGTTATCAGCACTGAAAGACCTTCTCATAGCAGCTCTACACAAGTCTTTGTATTTGTCTTCACACAATCTGGAAATGGCCTGGGAAAGTCAATCAAATAGAACACAAGAACAATTTAAAAAAAGGGTTCCAACGTTAAAAAAAAAACAACAGAAAGCATCACTGATAAGCCACCCAGCCACACTCCTTTAGACAGTTGACAGTTACTGCTACTTTGGATTGTAGAAGTCTACATTCCCAGATTCTGGGGATGCTACTTCCTGCCAATTCACTAAGGTAATATCCTTAAAAGGCTATGATTAGATCACTGGGCAACGAGAATTTGCTTATTTACAAATTGGGTTCCAATTTGGCTGACAGGCTCCTAACAACAGTATCACCTGTCCCTGCACACCTGTTCCTTCAACATAATGAACATACACCTGGGCAGAAATCAGCGTTTACTCAGCCATTCAACTTCTAGTCTTCATTGGTTATTATATTCTCTAAGCAATTCTAACAGGGCAGGCATGTCTGGACTTTATCGGAAGGTCAGAGAGCTAATGACCGAAGCACCAAAAAGTGCTATTTTCACTTGCACATTAACCATGGTAGAAAATACCTTACTGTAAACTACACCAAGGTACCACAAAAAGTGTCCATTTTAAATATGTCTTGAAATTTCAGTTGTGAATAATTTTGCTGTATACTCACTAAAAAATCATAAACCATAATTCCTTTGTTTCATATACGTTACCATTTCCATTAAAAATCCATGGGCTCTCTACGACAGTACCTAAAACACACATTATACAGCCTAAGTCTCAGGTGAACCACGGATGCTTTGTCTAATATGGGACTGAACTGTGGTATCTGTAGAAAACACTGGCATGAATTTGCGAATTGAGTAAAAGACTGTTAAGAATGGTGAGTAGAGGGGCGCCTGGGTGGCTCAGTTAAGCGTCTGCCTTTGGGCTCAGGTCATGATCTCAGGGTCCTGGGATGGAGCCCTGTGTCAGACTTCCTGCTCAGTGGGGAATCTGCTTCTCCCTCTCCCTCTCCCCCTCCCCCTGTTCACTCTTTCCCTCTCCCCCAAATAAATAAAATCTTAAAAAAGAAGAAGAATGGTGAGTACGTAGATATGATTAAGGATACAATCATAAGAAATTATTCATGTATGACTATATGGAAGGGTAGAGGTTCAAATGGAAAACCATTAAGAACAGATTAAATTTGACTTAAAATATTCTGAATTATGGTCACAGAAGAAATATCTATATACTTTTTTAAAATAATGTGAGATCCTTATATAAATCATAAAAGACACAGGAAATATGCCACCAAAGGGTTAATAAGCTCTTCGATGTGTTAATTTAAAAGCTTTACATTTTGCTAATCGCTGCTTAATGAGACTTAGCCACAGATGCTGGTTTTGGTGGCTGACAGAAAACCCCGACTAATGATTTCACAACCTTACCTCTAGGTTTTGTGCTCTTTCTTTGCTAAGAGGAGCAAATAGAAAATTCAAGTTGTTGTCATCTGCTAAGGAGCGAAGGTCAAAGTAGTATTTGGCATAAACACTGGCGGGAACATTAATATTAAACTGAAGTAGCTCCAAAAAATGCCTTTCCATCTCATTCCTGGGGGAGGAGACAACAAAACCAACACAAGACAATTTTAGTCAACTGGGCGATCTTCAAAAGTACCATTCTGAGCTACTGGGAGGGCTCTAAATTCTGTTTTGGAACAAACAGAGGCTACCCAGTGGGTGAGCACACTAACGTTCAAACAAGGTACAGCTATCCACGGTCCTTTCTGCACCCCAGCATTTTGAGTTCAGGACGAGGGGGAGAGGTTAAGGCCCTCTTATACACTCCTGCTGCTGACTCAGGGGCTCGTTCTTCAGAGTTCCATTAGTGCAGCTGTACGATTCATGCTCCACGCTCACTCACGAGGCCCCACTATAGTGATCAGATGAAAGGAATGATGTATGCTGTTGATTAGCTCTGAAGAACTTGCAGACATTTTCACCGGGCCGATAACAGGAAGGGGCTTATTGAAGTAGAGACGAGCCAACAAAAGGAGTGGGCACATCACCACGGCAACAAATGGATCCATCGAGAGCCACTGCTATTATCTCTGAGGGGGAGAAACTCTTGAAGCAACAAGGATTCATCTCAAATAAATAAATAAATAAGCCACACTGGATGGAAAAGGGAATCCCCTCCCCCTGCCCAGTGCATGGGGCTGTGTCAAGGGGCATACGTAAATGCAAGTCTCTGTTCACCTTCATTTCACTACAGCAAGAAATTGTCACTCTGACAGGACAGGATGCATGTTTTTAAACTTTGGAGGGCAGAATGATCAAAGAGATGTCTTGGCTCGACTAAACTCACCATAATATGACCTCTGGTAGAGCACTGGACTCAAACAGCCTTTCTCTCATGTTGGGGATGCAACCCCAAGATGTGGCGCCACCCCCTTGCCAGAACAGAACAAGCACGCCCGCAGGGGGCGAGTTCAATAAAATAGGAAAGGAAAACGCTGGGAACAGTCCTTTGCTCCACATGACCATACAGGCTCACTTGCCCAATGTTTAATATAAAATGGACCACTTTCACAGTCATCCCTTAGAGAATTACATAAAAATGATAAATACCCAAACAAACACAAGCAGCTTACTTTATAACATACTTGGTTTCTCGGTTTTAAAGTTTTAGTATTTTATCTGTTGGACAGATCAACAAATGTTGATGTTCTCCTGTATGGTCCGGAGAGCATTCAGAATATGAGCAGAGATGAGGTTCTCATTTGTTGAATTTTAAACCCAACTGAACCTACTTCCAAATTTAATTTCCTGTTCATATGGCTGTAAGTCTATAGAAATGTAAATCAGATAATGTTTTGATAATCAGCTAATCAGGACTTAATTTACTACAGGAATAAATGCACTTCACTATCCCTTTTATATTTTCTCCGCTAACACATTTTAATTGTGTGGAAATACAGTACTTCATAGGATTAACATGTCTATTAATAAAGGTTTAATCACTGGAGAAAAGCATTATGCCTATAGAATATGCATCTTCTGGGTTTTTTGTTTTTTTAAATAGCCAAACGGCTGAATAGCACACCATTTACAGGCACAACAAATCTTCTGAATAGCAGCTGCTCAGTTTAACTTATTCTTTTGAAGGAGAATATATTCTAAAGCATAGATGTTGGAAAGTTTGAAGAAAAAGCTGATAGACACCAATTTTTTAATTTAAGACTCAAAATGAGACTATTAGAAATCGAAGTCAACAGCAGGGGGACAAAACAAATGTGTATTAAACACTTTGTTGTAATGCTTTCCAATTTCCAAAGATCATACACAAAAGCAGCCTATTTATTATCAACATAGCTCCTGGTGCTTCTCTGTTTATAACAAAAAGTATTGTTTGGAACTGGTCTTCCCGTAGCTAGACACTGCCATCACTGCTCTTGGAAACTCACTCTTAGGAGCTCACACACTTCCCAGCATGTTCTGAGGTTTTTCCCTAGAGTCAGAGTCCCAGCCAGGTTCGTTGAAGGTTTTGAGAAAATTTCAGTTGCCACCATGGTAGCGCTAGTGTTCAAGATTACAAATTTTTCTTCCTTCAAGGGACCAGAATTTGCAGACTAATGACAGTGGTGATCAAAGTCACTTTAGTTTCTGCAACTTCCAAAAGTACTTTTGTTTCATTTCAAATCCATTATTTGCCATTACCCCATTTGCTACCATGGCTGCGAGCAACATCTCCATGCCCACTCAGTTTCCACTATTATCAAAAGCCATTCGGACAGCCACCAACAATCACTGGTCTCTTCTCCTAGTCGTAAGTGTCCTCACTTCAGTTGTAAATATGCACTTTGGTAATTCCGAATGACAATCTTATCTAGAGTAACGGGCAAAGGTAACAAAAACAAACTTGCCACTGCCTGCCATGATCTTAATCTTCCTATGCTGTTCCGTATAATCAAGACGTGTTCTTCCACATTTTCCCAAATGCCACCCACAAAGACATTTTCACTCTCACGTGGGCACTTCGAGAATCTACTGGAAATACCTCGCTGGCTCATCCTGCCTACCACCCTCAGGGCCCTTCACGGAAGCCAGGGTGGCCAGATCGAAAGCCCTCGTTAAGTCTGGTGTTTCACTCCCGCGTCAGCATGCCACCTGTGAGCGCTCCCGTCATGGTTGACAGAAGGCCCCACAAAACGCTGCTGTGACTGCCGAGTGGCCCCAGAGACTCTCGAATACGACAGGCACTGGCTGATGTCCCAGGGCTGCTTTTCGGGACTGCCTGAGAAACAGGAGCTTCCTAACAACTCAGACCTATTTTTAAATAGGTGCAATACTGCTAGCATGGGAGCAGGCAGGAGAACTGGGACCTGAAACCTTCATACATGTGGCTACTTTTGTACCATGGTTTCTGTAACAACAGAACTTCAAACAAAAAGGAGAGAATGACCAGCAAAAGCTGACTCACGTTGAAGGTATAACCTCTCAATGGTCTAGAGACCCTAAGACCTTAACAGTGGCCAAACATTTATTTTAAAGGTCAGACACAGGCCTCTTTAAAATGGACTGGAACTCATAGACAGCTTTAAGAAAGCCATGAAGATTATTTATAATACTGTGTTGGGTGTAAGCCTGTAAAATGTATGCCAAAAACCAGCAAAAATATACACTTCAATTTACCAAGCAGATTATTAAAACAATAACACATCAAGACCTACCAGTTAATGATGGGAAATAGGAATTGTTATACCATAGCCAGATAGGAAGTCTGTAGTTTTATGCCTGTTTCAGTTCTTTGCACAATGTAACCTTTAAAAATATTTCTTGAAATGTACACTTTACTGCAGCAAAGGAGGCACTGGAAAATGGTTAGAAAGTTCACCCAAACCTTACAAACTCACATGTCCTCAACTGTAATGTCCTTGAGGATCTGGCAGTAGTCCACATTCCATACAGCCTGATCGTCCCAAACCTTGGAGGCAAGAAGAATGGCTCCCAAAACAATTCTTTTCCAGTTAGTGGGACAAATGTCGATCTCAGCGTAAGTTAAAAGCCTTTCTAAGTAAACCTGCAAAAGTAGAGCACTGGTCTTTGATTTTAGTTCAGTTTAAGTGCTGTGATAAGAACTGTTAGGAATGACAGATTTCATCTGTTTTTGACATGCCTTTTATTCTTACAAAGGTCTACAAAGACTTGGCCCCGGCAGCCAAAGCCAGAGGCCAGGTCACAGTTGTAGGTCAGATAATTCTGTTGCCTACTCTGCCCATGTGAATTTCCAGCCTTGGTCACAGGAATGAATGAACATCTCAGCAAAGGGCATCTTGAAGACAGGCATTGGGTTATTAACCTTCCCATTCATAAAGGGAAGTGATTCAATACAACTGATTGCAGATTCAAGTTGTTTCATAAACCCGAGTGCCTACCCCGTGCAAGATATCACACCTGGCTGGTCGTTACACGGTCATTTTACACAATACTTGAACATGTAAAACCCTGGTTAATATTGAGCACATTTTTGCCTTCCCCTCTTCACAGTTAAGTCAGCCTTTTGTGGCACAAGCCTGAAGATAGAAACTGGTGGTCAAGAGAGCCCCCCAGTGGCTGCTGTGTGGCACGGCAGGACGGCAAGTACAAACAGGTGTGCTGGAGGCCGGCCTTTACAACTGTCAAGAAGTCCCCTAATAGAGAGTGTCTTTTAAAGGAACATACATGCTTCGTCTCCCCCTCTGATTTCCCCCACTTCATTTTTCCCTTCCTTCTCCTAATGTCCTCCATGCTATTCCTTATGTTCCACAGATAAGTGAAACCACGTAATAATTGACTTTCTCTGCTTGACTTATTAAGGAGGGCACATACTGCGTGGAGCACTGGGTGTTATAGGAAAACAATGAATCATGGAACACTACATCAAAAACTAATGAGGTACTGTATGGTGATTAACATAATCAAATTTAAAAAAAAAAGGAAAAAAGAAAGGAACATACATGCATACAAAGGACAATCCTTCTCCCATCCCCTCACTTTCACATCTCCATTATTATTTCACGATAATTCGTTTCTGTCTTACGTTACCCGCAGCTTAGTCAGTTCTGTTGGTTTTGAAGTGCTTAACAGAGCCTCCCTGCACTGGGGGACTCCTCTACACTCGCTGTGAGAGACTCCAGGATCTCTCTTACACGTATCAAATGTCCACTCCACCCAGCCCTGGGCGGTTCCCAGCCGAGTAAAGATTACAGAGGTAAGCCACGATTTGTTGTTACTTCAAAGGGTTCTCTACAGAAGAGTATATATGTCATTTGACAAGAAGAGAAGTCCAATTTTAGTGTGTGTTTATTGTCTGAAGGTTGTCCGGTTGCCAGCTCAGATTTGCCAGTATTTTCCAAACTCAACTGTGTTTTCAAAAACAAATGGTTCTTGAACATTTTATGTTCTTAGTGAAATTCTGCTCCCAATTCCCCCGAACTCAGCCCTCTCAGGTATCCTAAGAATGAACAAGTTGAACCTACACGATTCAACTCTCTACTTTATGGGAATAATCAGAGGCACTTATACAATACTGGCAGTCTCTCAACTTCCTCTATCCCCTTTACTGGCAAACCTGGAATCTGCCCAGCCTGATTCTGCTGGCTCTCCCGTCTGTGGAAATGAGATTTTCTTCTGCTCACTGAAGTTAACTCTTCTTTCGGTGATCCCATCCCACTTGTGCAGAACTATTCACACAGGTATCTCTTTTTGAAGAATTTTTTCCCTCCCTGCCAGAGATTTTCCACAATATGAATGGATTTACATTGCCCATTGCCCCCATCCTACACACCCCCGCCCCCAGCTCCAGCCCCAGCCAGCTTCCTCTTGTTTTTGCTCACAGCAAAATGCCTCATGCTGGCTTCTCATCTCCCATCCACTTCCTAATCCGGGGTAGTCTACCCCTGCCGCTATCACTCCCCAGGTCCTTGGTGCCTTCAGCCCAACTCTGCGCTCCCCAAGCCTTCCCTAGTAACCTAAAGGGCACTACCACTGGCCTCGTTGCTGGGGCCTCCATTTGACTTAATCCCGTTCCAATCTGCTGGCTGTTTTTGTTACCTCTACCTCCACTGGTGATGTGACTGATTTCTATCTGCACTTCTCAGCTGTATCACCATCACCGCCTCCTTACCTCCCCGCCTCCACTCTGACTCCCACTACAGTCTATTGTCCCCAGAGCAGCCAGGACAGCCTCTTCAATGAACAGCACTTCATACCCCTGTTCGAGATCTGCCAGAGGTTTCCCATCAAACAAGTAACAGTTTCCCTTCTTCCCAGGCCCGCGAGCTACAAGACCCCAGAAGATCCGGCCTTGCCCTTCTGTGACCTCATCTGGCATGTTGTTCCCCTCATTCTTCCTCTGACACTGGCCACCTCACTGTTCCTTGAATACACAAAACATGCTCCCATCTCAGAGTCTTGCATTTGTCCCCTCTGCCTGTAATGCCAGAGTTCATCATCTTCCTCAGGTAGGTCACGGTTCAGGTGTTACCTCTTTAAAGAGGCTTGTCCTGATCATGCTATCTAAAATGGTGAGCCCCTCCGATCACTTTACCCCTTCACGCTGCTTTCTCTTCCCTGTATTTACCACTACCTGAAATATTTAGGTAACACTCTTTTGACAAAACAAATGGAAAAACAACTCATTTCTTCCTTGCTAGAATATAAGCTATATAAAGGCAAGAACTTTATTCCACCTGTTTTCTCCTCTGTCCCCAACACTTAGAACAGTGACACAGACTTGGTATTCAATGGGTATGCAGTGGGCAACTGCTTGGCAGCATTCGGCCTTTGGACCACACTCTCCTTGAGCCTCTCATCTTGGCATCTCTTTATTATTCCCTCCTGGGTCCTACCACTCTAGCCACTCCTCTGAGGACGTGTACCTTAAATGCTGTTAGTCCTTACAGATCTAGCTTCTATCCACTTTTTATTCTATACTTTTCTCTCCATTTGAACAGCTACTACTCTTACCAAATTCCCTATGTCTAGCTCGGATTCATGCTCAGTTCCATATATTCAAGTGATGACTAGACAGTGTCACTCCGCTGCCTCATGGGTATGTCACACTTAACCTGTCCACCAAGAACTCCCCCTCTCCAACCCAGATGCTCTCCTTCCAGCATCGCCTTGCTCTCCATGTGGGAGGACCACTCCTGCCTCTCTCCAGCCTGGGCTAATAAAGCACTCCAAATGGTCTGTAGCTCAAAAAAATGGCCTGAGGGCCCACTGAGGGGTCTCTACTCAAAAGCACAAGCCTCCCTCCTAAATTCTAGCTGGAAACTAAAGGAGTACAGGCGCTGACCTAAGTATTTTTTCCCACCAGACCATGCAGTTAACTTTCCCATACAGGTTTGCTGTACAGAGCAGTGAAAATAACCCCAGCTGCCTCTCACTTAAATAGAATTTATTTTTCAAATGATAAAATCTTACCACAGGAATTCTGTATGGATAACACAAAGGTCCTTACAAGTACTTCTGGCACTATAACCCTGGGCAACTTCATAGGCAGGCACAAGAGGGAACCAGGGATGGATGCACACCCGTCATCCAAGAAACAGAGAATTTAGGGCAATAGTTCTCAAGACACACATGAGAACTGTGTGGGGAATACTGAAATAATTTGGGACTCAGCTTAGACCTACACCAAATGAGTCTCTGCCTGTGGACCAGTTTTGTTACTGCCCCTGTCCCAGCCCAGCTCCCCCCAGCACACCTTCTGAGTGTGTATGTGTGTGCACTGTGTGTACATCTGTGTGCTGAGGTATGGAGGGAAAAACCGTGGAGGGAGAAATCTCTCCTGCTGCCTTTAACAGCAATTCTTTTGTGGTGAGAAAAGCAACAGCAACGTTTTGAAAAATAATGATTATATTAATAAGCTCGAATGTGTGTATTTTACTTTCAATAGGTTTCTCTTAATAAACTTCTGATGATTTCAGGAACCTATTTTATGTGAAAGGCAGGACCATACCCTGTGCATAAGACTGAAATTGAAAAAAGAGGCTGTAAGAAAGAAGAAATACCTTACCAAAGTTACTATTGCACATTCAGCTGTTAGCTGTGCAGCACTGAAAAGAGTACGAACAAATCTGTAAATAAATTTATGTTCAGGATCATGCTTAAAGTATTCCTCTGGAACCTTTTCTCGCTGAAAGAAGAAAAAAAAATGCAGTATAAGTATCCACCGAAGAAAAATACTTAAGTGCCCATAATACAGCAGTCTTTACATTTGGGCCCAGGTGCTCAAAATGATTTTGACTGGGTAACATGTCTTTTAGTTTTTTAAATATAAACAATGGGATCTCAAAATACCATACTGATTCAATACTCACCACCATTTGTTAAAGAAAAATACAGGCATGACCTCAGAAAATTTATATATATTCCTTTCTATCTAAATGTAAACTATTTTTAGGCTCAAGAGTCTGGTTGATCACCATGTTATATTTCTCTGCAATCAACTTTGAAAAAACAATTTTGGGGCACCTGGGTGGCTCAGTCAGTTGAGCGTCCATCCAACTCTTGGTTTCAGCTCAGTTCATGATCTCAGGGTGGTGAGATCAAGCCCTGCGTGGCGCTCCATGCTCAGCAGGGAGTCTGCTTGAGATTCTTGCTCTCTCCCTCTTCCCCTGCTTGCCTGTCTGCACGTGTGTGCATGCGTACACTCTCTAATAAATAAATCTTAAAAAAAAAAAACAAAAACATTTTCAGTTCCCTGTAACCATAAGACTCTAAGTCTGTGCTGACCCATGCAAGAGTCACCAGCCACATGTGGCTGTAGTGAACCTGAGGAAGTAAGTTTTAAAATTGTTTTTTAAGGATGCCTAGGTGGCTCAGATGGTTAAGCATCTGCCTTCGGCTCAGGTCATGATCCCAGGGTCCTGGGATCAAGTCCCGCATCAGGCTCCCTGCTCGGCGGGGAGCCTGCTTCTCCCTCTGCCTGCCACTCCCCCTGCCTGTGCTCTCTCTCTCTCTCTCTCTCTCTGACAAATAAATAAATAAAATCTCAAAAAAATAAAAAAAATAAAATTGTTATTTTAAAGGATTTAAAATTTAAATTGTTTTTTCATTTTCTTCACAGAGATCATAACATACTTGTTAGGTTTATTTACAAATACTTATATTTGTGGTTACTGAAAATTATCTTTTAAAAAGATACATTTTCTGTTATCTGGGTCCATTTACTCACTTTAGCTCACTAATTCTACAAAGCTGCAGCTCAGTTCTTGCTCTAGCATATACCTTATACATCATTCCTTTGGTAAAATGATTAGACACAACATGGAGCAAGGAAGAAGACTTAAGATGATTTTGACTTCAAGCTGGAGGGAGTAATTTTGTCCTGGTAATTAATTTCAAATCAAATCAGCATGAAATAAACGCAACTGCATGAGAGAAAAACGCAACTTCAATAAAAAACTAACACTTACTGTGAGTGGATGTGATCTCTCATCAAAAATATCCAAGGATCTATTTGCATCTCTACAGAATAAGAATGTGCATTTAAAAAATTAATTCAGGAATTAATATCTTAGTGGAGTACCTGCTGGAAGTAGAGAGGGGAGTGGAAGAAGCTTAACCTTCAACAAAGCAAACAGTTTCACAAATTCTTTTGCATTCTGGCCTTCAGAGGGTTTCCTGACTTCTGTGAAATCTCTTCTACCACAACCAGCCAAGCCAGAGCTGCCTTTCAGAACACTGACTTTCCCTAGCAGGCAATGCTAGTAAACCAAATGTATTTTCACTCCTCTAACCCCACATTGGAATACATAAGAACATCTTATAAAGTAGTAGTGGTGGGCAAAAAGTCTTTAGAATTTAATAAATGTGAATATGAAATTCATGTTTTTCCCTGTTTTTTCCTCTCTATAGTTCTCTATATATTATCACGTATTTCTTCTGGTCTCTCTTAAATAGTTTGAGTTAAAAACGTAATTTTTTTCTTAAATTTTGAGAGACCAGTCTTTTCATTTAAAAGATTACCACACTGGGGCGCCTGGGTGGCTCAGTCGTTGGGCGTCTGCCTTCGGCTCAGGTCATGATCCCAGGGTCCTGGGATCGAGCCCCACATCGGGCTCCCTGCTCGGCGGGAGGCCTGCTTCTCCCTCTCCCACTCCCCCTGCTTGTGTTCCTGCTCTCACTCTCTCTCTCTCTCTGTCAAATTAATAAATAAAATCTTAAAAAAAATAAAATAAAAGATTACCACACTAACACGCCATGCCCATTTAGACAGTGGTTCTCCAGGTGTGTGGTCTGTAGGCCTCTAGGGCTCCCCTTTTCAGAGACCCATGAAGTCAAAACTGTTTTTATAGGAATACTAAAGACATTACTTGCTCATACACTTTTGACATTTGCAGTGACTGTATAAAAAATAAAAGGGAGTAAAACTGTTTTTGTGCATGAATCAAGGCAGTGGTACCCAGCCATACCTAGTCATTCCGGTCTTCACTGCCGCTTGCAGTTGAAAAAAATTCTGCTCTACTAAAGAACATCCTTGATAAAGCAGTAAGATTTAACAGTGTCACTAAACCTCGATCCTTCTAATATTCTAAAATAAGTATTTATGAAACACTTCTGCATGCTGAAAGACAGTTAAGGAAAGGCACTTGTGACTTAGTTGTGAGCTGAACAAGCCACTTTTTTCAGAGCATCATCTTTTTTTTAAGATACAACTGACAGTCATTCTCTTAAAAATGAGCAAAGTGAGGGACTCCTGGCTGACTCAGTCGGTAGAACATGGGACTCTTGACCTCAGGGTCGTGAGTTCAAGCCCCATGTTGGGTGTAGAGTTTACGTAAAATTAAATCTAAAAATTTTTTTTAAAAAATGAACAAAGTGGCGCGCTTGGGTGGCTCTGTCGGTAGAGCATGGGACTCTTGACCTCAGGGTTGTGAGTTCAAGCCCCATGTTGGGTGCAGAGTTTACTTAAAATCTAAAAATTAAAAAAAAAAATGAACAAAGTGGGCACCTGGGTGGCTCAGTCAATTAAGCATCTGCCTTCGTCTCAGGTTATGAGCCCAGGGTCCTGGGATTGAGCCCCACGTCAGGCTCCCTGCTCAGCAGAGGAGTCTGCTTCTCCTTCTCCCTCTGCCCCCTGCTTCTGTGCTCTCTCTTGCTCATTCTCTCAAATAAATAAATAAAATCTTAAAAAAAAAAAAAAAAACACAAAGTGAGCCTGGAACTTCAAGAAAAATAAAGTATTTGTTGCCAATGATAAAATTCAGATTATCAAGCTAAAAAAATCAGGATTTTGGAAAACATGTACCTTTTACTGTGAGCTTCATCTACTGTAAGCTTGATAGCTTCTCAATACTTACAGGCTTTTCTGATAAGACAGGTGGTGATACTAACAGAAGTGAGTTTTTGACACTGTATAAAGAAACGTGAACTAGTACTTTCCAACTGACTAATGCATAATATTCTAAAACCACATACAGGTAAAAGATCCATTCAGTGTGCAAGATAGATCAATGGGTATTAACACAGTACAAGTTCACTGATACGATTTAAAATTCCATTGAATTTGTATATATATAAAATTCCATTATAATCTAAGAAACTAGCACTTGTGGACTTTTAGTAAAGTATCATAGAATATCCACAATATCTGAAGCCTTTAAAAGTACACCTTTTTCCAACTATATATCTGAACAAGGCTGGGTCTTCATATTGTTTCTTCAAAACAAATCACTGAAGACAGGATATGAGAATGAGCTGTCTTCTATTAAGCCAGACAGTAAAGAGATCTGTAAAACTGTAAATCAATGACATACTTTTCACTCAACTTTTTTGTTGTGGAAAAGTTACTTTTAATAAAAAAAATGATTTACGTTAACACTGGGGTTCCCAATCAGGGGTGATTTTGTTCTCCAGGGGACACCTGGCCATGTCCGGGGACACAGTGTGGAGGGAGGGAGATGTGCTACTGGCATCTGGTGAGTAGAGGCCAGGGGGACTGCTAAATATCCTATCATGCACAGGACAACCCTCCACAACAAAGATTTATCTAGCTCAAAGTTTCAATAGTGCCACAAAAACCCTGTTTTGACATACAGTGGATTTAATTTTTAAATCCTCAAATTTAATTTCTAATACAGTAAATATCAATATAACCCACATGAACACTCTTTGAGTCTTCAATAGTGTAATAAAAGCACTCTACTATCTATTAGATATTCTAACAATATCTATACTTGTTACCTAATACTAAACTTAATATCTTGCAAATTAGCTAGAATAACAAGACAGGTTTTAAAAGAGCTCACCTGTTCTTTATGTGGTAATATATTGCTAAGGTCACACTGTGGAAGGAAAAAGAAAATTGTAACAATTGATTTTATCATGTTAGGCATGAAGACATTATTTTAAAAGGGGTTGGGAGGGAGATAGGATCCTTCCAGGCGCCCAGGGGCCCTGAAATCCTCTAATTCAGAATAGTTCATATGGGCACTTTCCCCCTTGTTTTAGTCCTTTGGCTTTTGGCAAAAAAAAGAGGACCAAAAAAAAAAAAAAAAAAAGAGGATCAACTGTTAGAAGACCTGTTTTGGTCCATAATTATAACATATAAATTATTACACATTTTCCCTGACATTTGTCCTTTGTCATTGTACTACTCACAGAATCTTTCCTCCTCCTCTACAAGTTTTATCTGTTTGTACACATGCTTAAATTTAAGCCATACGGTAATTTTTGTGTTTATTAAAAAAAAAAAAAAAAGGTTAGGCCCTGCATTTCAATTGATTTAGTTTACTATCCACCAAGCCCACCCACTTTCCATTGTTTCCCTAAAAGTAAATAAAGTGTTCCATACCAAATAATTGAAGATCATAATTAGAAAATTTAATAGCAAATATAAGTACCCACAAAAATCAATGATAGGTCTAGCTACCCTGAAATAAGCAGTGCTAACAATGCAACATAATACTACACAGTATAATATTTAATGACAGGTATTTCCAAATTAGTTAAATATTAATGAACAGATAGATGTAAGTCCTCAGACACTCTTTATGTTACTATAGTCCTAAGTTATTCACAGACGTTTTGTATTAGGCAACAAAGGGGTTCTCCTAGTTATATGCTTCCCTTTGCCCTCAAAATGTCTAAAATGAAGCTCAAAACAATTGAGGGAAGGCAAATCTGAATTTTAGAGCTAGGTCTACAGAATATGAGCACTTGTAAAAAGGCCTATAACGCTATCAGCATCAAAGATGGATACTTCTATAGTGCTTCAAACAGTTTCATCTTCAATTTGATTTTAAAATCACAGAATTCAAAGTTCTATGCTGAAAAGAACCACGAAACCTTAGATAGCATTTAATTAAACAACCCATCTTACACATAAGGAGCCAAGGCTTAAAACTGACTTGCCCAAGGTCCCACAGGTGGTCAGAAGCAGTTCTCATTCTCCCACACTCTAACCAGGCAGTGGTTCTCCAAGCTTGGCTGTACACTGGGATTGCCTGAGGAGCTTTAAAAACTGCTTGGCTTCCACCTCCAGATGGTCTGATTTAACTGACACTGGGTATGACCTGGGCATCAGAAGTGCTTTTAAAGTTCCCCAGGTGACTGCAATGTGCAACGAAATCTGGAAATGAATGACTCATTTGGGATGCTTTTGTCCATACAATTATGCCTCGTATCCTTCCTCAGGCTATCAAAAGGCTTGTGAGACTGTGGTAGGGGCAGGGGGAAATGCATGTATTTTGAAACATAGATTTTTGAAAAAAGTTGCACAAGTGATTCTAATAAGGCTCCCACCACTGAGAACAATGCACTACCCCCAATGTAAACATTTTTCAAAATCATTCCTAAAAGCCAATTTGCCCTATTAATTTTCTCAGTAAACCTTTATTTCATCAATAATAAATGCACTGAATTGTTATTTTTAAAACTTAATGAAAGCAAATTAAATTTACTGTACTTCCACAAATTAGACTAAGTTGGGAAAAACAAGCATGAAACCTACTTGTCTGAGCAAGGTTAATCTTTAAAATCACTTCTGAATTATGTAAAACATCAGAATCTTTTGAACTCAAAAGCTGGGGACTCTAACCAAAAAAGAGGTTTTTTTTACACATGGATTTACTGTCTTGGCTGAATAAAAACATTCAGTGATTACTTGTTAGGTGTCAAAGCTCAGGACTTCAGAATTTTGGGGCTCAGTTTTTGCTGAAATACAATTTGATCTCCACTACTGTTATAAGAGAGAGAGGAAAGTTACATTATTATGACTGGGAACTTGTTTTTAATTAAAGTAGAAGTTACTGATAATTTAATGAGCTGACAGAGCTGGTACATCAGAAACAAGATTGAATTTATAAGCCAATTTTAAAGACTGAAAATTAAAGATAAGAATATTAATATTTTGAAGTAGTGTTCCAAACTGTGTTCTGGAAAATCAACACTCACGTTCCAAAGAGACATTAATAATGTTCTTTGGCCAATCGTGATGAAGTCAGGAAGCTCTGCATATCCAGTTTTGGGGTTTTTTTTCCTCCCTTAAGTAAGCTTGAAAGGTTCATCTTAGGGTGTTCTGAAAGTGCAACTTTAATTGTGGATTATAAGGTGCTCCCAGAAATTATGTAATAGTTTCCATTATAACACTGTTCGTGTTTGCTGAAATATAAACTTGACCACAGCTATGTTTCCAAAACTCTCTTTCATTGTTCTCTGCTGTGGTTTTCTTATATATGGACTGATATAGTGTCCTAGAGATATATTTCTATATCTATACACATATATAAAGTTAAAATTAAGTATATCTATTAAATTATCATTTTCAGTTGAGCAAAATTTCATCCATAAAGAAATTAAGCTTGAGAATTTGTTCCTTAATATTGATTTGGTATATTTTCCCCCTCTTTGGGAGATAGGAAGGAGAAGTTAATTTTCATACAGAAATAGTGCAGGAAAAAAAAAATGCATGATGGGAGAAAATCTGACAAAAATCAAATTAAATTTAAATGCAAATATACTCTGCTGCCAGTAGGGGACAAACTATTCCTTCTTTCAAGAGTAGCTTCCAAAGTAGTACACATTGTTTTAGGCCCATAACTCATAAAGAAATATTTTTCTAGAAACATCCAATAAAAAGTACCTCTCCCTCTCATTATGTTCAACAATGTCTTAACAATGGAAATGTATTAAGTAAGAAGTGTACTTTTCCTGGGATTTTTTTATTTGCTAACTGGCTTTCCCTTCTACCATGCACTCTAAGATTAAAATGGAAACTGATTCAGACTGAGGTCCTGGAAAGCAATATAAAATAGACACCAGTTTCTTAACCTGATCACTGAAAAGGACAATTAAATGACTGAAATGACCAAGTATGGCTAGGATGCTTTTAGCATGAGGGGGCCTGTCACTCAGCCCTTGGCAACCTAGTTGTACTCACCATTTTATTGTGGTTCTAAGATTAGGTTGGCTGACTGTGCTGTCATCTAGAAATATTGTTGAGCATGAGCTATACTTTTTAGTAAGCTGCCCTGGAGATACCTGAAGGGGAAGGGAAATAGAAGAAAATGTCACAGTAAGTTAAACCTATAAAAGTGTGTTTTTTCCTCGGTTAAAAGGTCAAACGATAAAGCATTAAGATTTTTCTTATACTTCATGAACTGCTTGAGTGTGCTATCATGTGCAGCTCTATGGGAACCCAGTGGATGCTCTAACTTCCCACACAAGATTTAAGGAATGGGTTATAAACTACTGCCCTTGATAAATTACCTATTATCAAACCTGGCAAGCACCTATTATAAATTCCCTTTATAATAATGTAAGAAGCTTAGAATAAGATTTCAGTGGTTTTTTCCTTAAGAAATGAAAAGCAGCTGAGACTATTTCTACTATTCATTTACTACAATGAAATGTAATGCCTTATATAATATTGATGCAAGAACATTTTATTGCAGAAATGAAAGCTGATAATAAATGTATCAGTTCAGGAGACAATGTGATGAAACAGATGTTCTTAAGTCAGAGGCTGTTTGTACCAGGGTTGCTCTATCACTAATAAGCTGGGGTGGGGGGGGCGTAGGTCTCTCTAGGCCTCAGTTTCCTTATCTGGAGGGCAAGAGAGTACTGCTTTAAGATTCTCTCACATCCATAAAACAGCTTATTATGAGAACTTCACTTTAACTTCATGTTTAAATAAGACTGCCATCACATTACTCAAGTGAGAACCTCTGAGTACTTTCCATTCATTTAAAAATTTTATTAATTCTATTCTGTAAGTTGCTTGACATTCATCACAACAATTTCCTGCCTCACTCATGCTGCTTTTTTTACCTACAATGCCTTTTTCTTCCTCCTTGTCCCAGAAAGCTTGACCCCATCTACCTCCAGGATACCTTTGCCAGCAGTCACACCACAAAACTTCTTCCTTTTCTGAATGCTCACACATCTAATCTGCCACTTGATACATGCTACCATTTGCTTGCAGGATGTCTCCCTCCTAAGAAAGTAAGCTTCTCCAGGGAAGGGAGGACTCTTACTCCTACCTCCAGCTACTGAACACAGAACCTGGGACAAATTAGGAGTTCAATAAGTGCTTGATAAATTATTTAAAATCAGTTACAACTGGAAGGTAAATCTTACTACAAATTAGTGAGAATTTATTAGCATAGTGTCAGAGAGGTGACAATGAACTTCTGGAGACCCTCCATAGAATAAACCATCTTTAAAACACTTTAGAAGTATCCATTTATCTGTGAAGAGCCTGAGCCCAAGTATATAACAACAGTCAAATACTGAAATAGCCTAAGCTATGTTAGGACAATTCTCTTCCTTAAAGTGAGACCAATAAACAAATCCCAGTCACTGTAAGTAGTTAAAAGTAATAGCAGCATTCAATACCACAGAATCCCAATAATTTTAATGCTTGGTTTTGTTGTGTTTTTTTGTTTTTTACTAATTCAGATGAGCCTTCCTTCCTCCTATTAAGATGAAATAGCGTTTGCCATGCTATCATACTCTCCTGTCAGCATCCCCCTCAAATACACGACAGATGGGGTAAGGGAAAAAAATCTAGTTAACTTTTTAAAATACAGAGCATTTAAAAACTGCCAGTAGCCAATAATAAGAAATATCCACACGGTATATAAAAACACCATTTGCTTATTTCAGATGTTCTCCTGCAAAGCCATTTACCTCTTATTAACAAAAAGTTCCAGACATTCTATTTTTGAAAAGTATCACTAAATTCTCCATCAAGCCAGAAATGTTCAATTATACCTAAAACTGTTATGTTCTTTAAAGCTATTCAGTGAATATGTAATTTATTTTAAGAATCTCAATAAATACAGCATGAAAAATGAAAAATTCATTTAAATACTTTTACTCTAAATGAAGAAAGTTCTCGTTTAAGGCCACTATTAGTAGGGTATACTATGGTGTATATTATATCATAATAAAAGTCAATTCTGACCAAAAACCTCTACTGAGGAGCCATAAAAAGAATAGAAAGAAAACACAACAAAATATAGACCAGTTGGTAGAGCTTTGGGTTATATTTGCTCCCACTTTCTTCCATTAAATTTTTTTTCTATTACGAATATATACTGGCTTGTCTTTGAAAATATTAGTGAAACATTTAAAAATTTTAATTAGATGTGGTCTTACAGCCATATGGGGGGCTAGTGAATCAGCAACTTAGTCTACTGGCTAGATCCAACCAAAGAAACACTGAACACTTCCCCATCAGGCCAGGCCTACTTTTCAGTATTCAGTAATACCTAGTATTCAACTAAAGGGCTGCAGAATTAAGCCTCTGAACAAAGCCCGGATATATCAGTTATAATTATTTATCAGCTTAAAAGCCAAAATTTTAAGACAATTATTTTTTATGGTTAAAGGCTTACCATCCCTGGCTTACAGCCTCAATAAACAACACTGACAAAAATAGGGTCATAAAATGCAAATAAAAAAAAATCAAATAGCAAAAAACAGTATTGGCAGTTAAGTGTTCATAGATATTATTTCAGTTGGTTACTAGAATAGACAGGGACAAAGGCAGTGTTTATCTTTACTCATTGAGCACTAAAAGAATAGATGGACTTTTACAATCTTTACAACGAAGGTTATTTCACAGACTTATGGTTCAATGGCAAAGACTAGAAAATAATCATACTTAGAAGTCTAGGAAATCACAATCCAAGCCTTACCATCAAAGGTCAAGTACCTGTTGAAATCCTGCCCCCAGCCACTGACCTGCCCATTGTACCTACTGCTGAAGTTCACTTTTGTGTCTCCCATTTTCACAGGACAAGTTTTGTCTTTTTCATAAAACCACTTAAAAATTTCCAACACTATGCATTAATGAAAACTTCATCTATGTTGCGCATTAATGGGACAATATGACAGGGTACATGGTTTGAATTCTTAATCAAGGCCTTAGAAGAAAAGTGTAATATGCTAATTATAGGTATAACCAGAAATACTGTCTGAATTAATATCATTAATTATATTGAGTTAAAACTTTAAACTTAAATTTATACTTTCAAAACACATACTAAGTTTGAGTTAAAAACATGGTGGACTGATCACAAATCTATTTCCTCTCCCCATCCTTTCAGAGGTTATATACAACACAGGATAAATAGCAGGTGCTTTTTAATGTTTGAAAGGTGAAAAGACTAGACAAAGGAGTGGCAACTGACATAGCAGAACAGAGACTGGGACAGGAACAAGAAAGCCAGTTTGTCTTACAGAACCCAAGGCAGGCTCAGAATTCAGAGACTCAGCCCCCAAACACCGCGAGCGAGGCCTGTTAGTGAAAAAGTCTTGCTCCCTTGTGGTATTTCCAGTGAGATCACAGATACAGGCAGGCACCACTACACATTTGAAAGAAGCCTCCAACAAGTAAGAGAGATCAAAACGGAAAAAAGAAATTGATGGGAATGATAAAATTAAGAAGCAAATGAAAATTTAAAAAATTCTTAAAAACCCTCAGAAAGATGAGAAATTGTACTGGTGAAAGAACTAGATGCTATAAATAATGATAGACTATAAGAGAACTGTATAAATTAAAAATAAGATAGACAAAACTCAGTATTCAATAGAAGGAGAAGGGTTAGAGCATAAAGTCAAGGAAGTCCCCAGGAAGTAGGACAAAAAGAGAGAATGGAAAACAGAAGGGGGAAAAATTAGAGACCTGTGCAGGAACACTGGTCCAAGAGGTCCAACATCTGAATGACAGAAATACCAGACTAAAGAAAAAGAAAAAAAAAAAAAAAGACATTCACTAGAAGAGATGGTCTGCAGACTTCCTGGCCCCAATAAAATGAAAAGGTCCGTATCAAACCATATTATGAAATTTCAAAATCTCAGGGACAGAGAAGGTACTAGGAAGGTTTCAGAGAAAGAAGGGATGGGGGAACAATGACTAAAATTGGAAATGTACAATGTATCATATAATGTCAACAGATTTATGAGCAACATTGTAAACGAGAAGACAATAGAGAAATGTCTATAGAACTGCAAAAATTAGTTTCAACCTAGAATTCTATACTTTATCAAACAGCAGGAGTTTCAGAGAAGCTAGATCTCTAAAAACTTCTGCCCATTCCCAGAAAAATGTGCTCCAGTAAAACAAGGGCATATAACAACACAAAGGGCAACAGAGAATCTAGGACATAGGGGATCCGACAAGACAGCAGTTATGTGAGATCCCAGATGACTTCAAGGAGATATCCCAGGAAAACAGACACATAGCCAGCCTAGCGAAAACCAGAATAGAAAGACAAAAGAGTGTGTCCAAGAAAAAAATGGAACAGATGTGTTTTAGTAAACGAAAAATATTTTTGATGGACATGTGACAAATGTTACAACATTTGTGGGGGGGGAATTAGCTGTTAGAAAATAGGCAAGTGAGTATCGTCAGGAAATTAATTCCACACACACACACAAAAAAGGAACAATGTGAAAGCAGAAAGACCCGCCAGGGAGCTACTTACAGCATTTGGCTGTGTGAGATCATGTTGGCTAGGAAAATGGGGACTGGATTATCCTGGAGAAGTGCAGAAATGCTTGGGTTTCAGAAATATTTAAGAAAAAGAATGAAGCGTATACAGGAGAAGGCACAGGCAGAGAACTATATGGCTCAGCAGGGAACAATATTTGCATAGTCATAACAACATACACATCGATTCTGACTTAACAAAAACCATGACACAGGTTGACAGCATAGAGGCAAGGAAATAAGGCCATGGTGGAGTGATGAAGCTAAGCTTTCACCTGTCACAACAGGAAGTCGATAGTGCTAAAAATTAACTTAATTATGTTTTGATTACTTTGGTTAAAAAATAAGATTAAAAAATTAAGGCAAAAAAATTGAAGGCAGAACTTTATACCACAACCACGTTATTTAAATTTAAGTTAAATGTCAAAACCCTTAAAAAATGGGCACTACTGAGCCAGAGACTTTCCTGAATACATCTGATAATGAGGAAAATAGAAGAGATTTAGAAAATCTACAAAAAGAGGTCCTAACAGTGCTAACAGCATTGGATCCATTATATTTTTTAGGAATAATGGCAGACATACTTTTAATTCAAACTATTAATTTCTTACTTAACTTTTCAACTGTTTACTTACATGGTTTAAATGGTTGCTCTTCCTCTTTTCTCGCACTAAGAATAAAAAAATTAACATCAATTCTGATACAAATGCCATAGAAAAGTAAAAGTAATTGCTACTTATCTGACGGATTACCAACGAACAAAATGAGATGAAATTCCATTTTTAAAATATAATTTCCCACAAAATTTATAATTTAAATCCCCTAGCAAGATAAATCCTATAAAGTAAAATCTAAAAACTTAGTTTTACTTTCTGACCTAACAGATTTTCTTTGTTAGGTACAAATGAAAGGCTCCCCATGTACAAAAGAAAAGGACAAAGCAAACTAGGCCAGGTGAAAAATTTAACTAATAAAAATGTTTACCTGTTGAATATCTGAACCACTACACAGTATTTTCTAATTCTATGTTTACATACAACTTACTTCAATTACCAGGATCTGACAGCTCTAAGAATCAGCTTCTGGCCAGGCACTAATTTCTAGATACATCAGTATCCTAGAAGCATCCCGAAGCATTATTGGTGATTGGTGATAAGATTATTGGTGATCTACTAAAATACCTTGCTAAAAAAATAAAATGGGTCATTACACAACTGGAAAGTATCTATCTTAAATTTATATTTTAATGTGTGCTAATCTAACTGACTGTATCTAGAGCACACAAAATCACTTTGCTCTAACAAAGACCAGAAGAAGAATAAAAGCTCCAATGAGGGTCTTGGACCCCACTTTGTTTCCCACACTGCCTCCTTTATGACTGAGGAAAAAGAGACATGAGATAGCTTTGCTTTTACCGTCTCCGCACTGTTTCTACATGTGGGCAGGCTATGTTTCTGGAAGAAACAGAGAAATACAGCAATCCTAACCAGAAGTGATCTGCTCAAGTCAGGCTATGTACATACACTGTGAAAATACAGGTTAAAAACCCCCATTTTTTTATTGTGCTGCATACTTCAAATATTATGGAACACTCACTTTTTATACTCCTGCTGTCATAATCAACTGAAAAACCTGGTCATGTATGGCTTTTTAGTTCAAATAAAAAAGGATTTAACATAACATTAAGGAAAATAAACAGGCAAGCAGGAGTGCTAAAAACTCTACAGTTCTGATTCTCATTATAAATCAAGGACACAGGCAATTTATACTGGTCTCTGTTGCTGAAGCTAACCTTCTAGGAAATCTCACAGGGCATGTTTGTTCCCATGTATCCTGGCACAACAGTACATTAGAAGAGAGTAGAATAAATGCAGATGTGAGATAGGCTTGTTTGGTTGAGCGTAGCGTAAAATGGGGCCAGAATCACAGATTCAATCCCCATAAATTAACAACTGATTTTTTAAATTTTATTTGTTAAATGAAAACCTAACTGTGGCCTAAATCCTATCTCACTCATCTTTAAAGCCTGTGTTCTTTGGAGCCAGGGGAAAAGGACAAGATAGTATGGAGTATTACACCACATCTAAATCATGTGGTCACAAGTGACTGTGTTGATAAAGAGGTGGCAAAACATGTAAACAGAGTCTCCATGTTCTGCTAACTAAATCAGTAACAATTAAAGTATATCATCACATATTAAAATAAGAAATGAATACATGAAAAAGTGAAACATTTAAATTAATGTATGAGTTCTTTTAGGGGCTTTCTATAAAACACAAAACAAAAACAGTTTTCAATCTTCTCAGGGGAAAAAAATACTGTCTTACCATCCGTTTGAGATTTGCTCAGGAAAATTGTGCTTGCCCTTGGATGGTCAGAAGGGTTTGATTCCAAAGCTAACTCTGTATAGGAAGAAGAGAAAAAGGTGTGATAATTTGAGTAGAAAAATACATGACTTTAAAAATAACTGCACATCAATTTTAATCACTTAGCAGTCTTGGGAAGAGTTTTTAGTAATGATAAAAAGCCAATTTTAGTAAAGGCAACAATATAAAAATTATACTGGGAAACTGCAAAATTGTAGAATCGACATATGTGGAATAAAACCAGGCTGTGTCTTAAACTTTTTTTTAACCTGCACCTAAATAATCTATGCAACTTTTAGACGGAATTATATGTGTGCCTTCCCCCTCCTACTTAACTATCAAAAATCCTGTCACCATCCTTTAAGTTGATATTACTAGCATATTCCAAAAGCAGTCTCAAAAAGTAAGTTATGCTGTGGCTATTACTGTCAGACACCAGCTCAATATATCAAATATGCCAAAACCAAACAAGTTGCTTTTGGCAAGCAAATATTCTTTAAACAATCAAATAGCTAATTCTAACTCCATTCAACAAATGAACTCATTTAGTTAGTTGTGGTTTATGTGGGGGACTATCCATCATGGCAGATTTTTAAAAACTGTATAAAAGTTCAATGTTCTAATCTTCGGGCACACTTCTATGATAGTAAGTAATTTTTAACTTTTGCTCTCAATTTCCAAAGCTAAACTCCTGCTTCTTCCATCCATGCTGCATGATTAATTTGGGGCTCAATAAGAGTACTTTCTGGAGCAGATCATGGGGCTACATGTAAAAAATTTTGTCCATACCTATGTAAAGGTATGTCTGCCTGTAGTCCACCTTGCACCAAGGTGGGGAAATTCTCTATTTACACAAGAATACAAAACAGGTACTTGAATTTTCATAGAACAAGGTTTGCCACCATAGGGGATAATAAAGTTGTCATTTAAAAAAAAAACCAAACCTCTGGTGTGTCTAAGATTCCAAACAAAATGATCCCTGCATTTCCTCAAGATGTTTAGTGACAGTCTGATAAGCAAAGCAGTCTGAGCAAGAAATAGGAAATGCAGAAATAGGGCGCCTGGGTGGCTCAGTTGGTTAAGCGACTGTCTTCAGCTCAGGTCATGATCCTGGAGTCCAGGGATGGAGTCCCACATTGGGCTTCCTGCTCAGCGGGGAGTCTGCTTCTCCCTCTGACCCTCTTCCCTCTCGTGCTCTCTGTCTCTCATTCTTTCTCAAATAAATAAATAAAATCTTAAAAAAAAAAAGGAAATGCAGAAATAGGTTTTTGTCTGGTTACATATAATCTTTGTTCTTTTTAAGCTCTGTGAGCTCTGAAATATATTTTTGGGCTACTTCATGGTGTTTGACAAGACAGTCTGATACTTCTATTAAACAAATGACTTTCATATTGCAACAACCTTTGTAAGAACAACTCAAAATTCTCTTAAAAAGAAAAAAAAAACCCACCGTATGACACTCCTCAGCAATGTCCATCCTAAAGTACTTAGCCAATCTTGCAAGAAACCAGACCAAGATCCTGACGGAGTAATGGTTAAGTCTAGTATTTCCCAAACCACATAATAATTGTTCTGTTTTTAAAAGGGATGTTGGCAGTCTAATAGAAAATAGTATCTCTGGCTCTTTGAGAATCAAAATGTCCATTAAAAACTAATCAGTCTTATAGTGAATATAGTCTAATTCAACATTTCACAATTTATCTACCTAGAATCCCTTTTTCCTCCAAGTAATATAGTTAGACTCTTTCACAAACATCATTTGGGACTTCCTGGTTTAACAGGAATCTGAACCATCCATTTTAATGGTACTGCCAGCACTAGAAATTTACATAGCTAAACATAGCTTTGTTCTTCATGGAAATTCCTTCATTGAATTTGAACTTTGTTAGACTGCTTTTGGAGAAACTATTCTATTCAACATTTTTATGTAAAAGAACCATAAAAATTAAACTTTTCACATATTTGAAAAATGAGACAATGTTAGCTATTTGGAAAATAAATGAATTCAGCTGTGCTCAAAGTGACAAAGACTTTCACAGCTGCCTCTAACCTAAGGCTTTCGAAAGAGTTCATGACCCACTTCTTACCAAAAAGAAAGCAAATATACTACATGTGAATCTAAAAACTAGGCAGAAATGTTTGCAGAAGTAAACACATTATGTATCAGTGCCTATGGCACGAAAGTTTAATTAACACTTTTCAATGGGAAATCCACGAAAAATAAGTACCAGAATCAAGGGGGAAGCAGGACAGACAGACAGACAGACACACACACACACACACACCCCCCCCCCTTCCCCAAACCAAGATATGCTACTATGGATCTAAATACAAAAATCAGGAGGCCCTGGATAAAAGAAATAGCAACACGCAGAAAAAAAGCACAATTAGCCCAAGTGACAAGAAGGAAAGTGGCACTCCCCCTACCCCATCTAGGCTGGGGCAGCCACTGTTGCCCTGGGACTTCCAAAAAACCACTGAGAAAGGCAGAGCTGGGGCACCTGGGCGGCTCCGTTGGTTAAGCATCTGACTCTTGATTTCAGCGCAGGTCATGATCTCAGGGTCATGAGACCGAGCCCTGCGTCAGGCTCCCCACTCAGCATGGTGTCTGCTTGAGATTCTCTCTCCCTCTGCCCCTCCCCCGACTCACGTGCTTTCTCTAAATAAATAAATAAAATCTTTAATTAAAAAAAAAAAAGAAAGCAAGAAAGGCAGAGCTGTGGATTCTTGGCTAGTCTGGAGCTGCCCCAGGCTTCCTTTGCTATCATGGGGGTAGGGAGTTTGGGGGGGAGGGGAGCCTTTCTAGGATACATCAACAGAGGCGAGCAGAACTGAGACAGGCCATTTAATTCCTTGGTCAAATAGTACCCAATTTACTCCATGAACTCTGGTTACAGAAGTCAGTATTTTAAAAAAAAATTTTTAGATTTCAATTTGTAACTGAAAGAGACCTGGGTTAATCAGCAGTACAGATGATCGCATTGAAGGTGCAAACAGATAAAAGTCATTTGCTCATTCCTTTAACAAATATCTGATCACGAACAAAAATTTGCAAGAGCCAAAATAATATTTTGTTTAAAAATTATTCATCAACTCACAACCATTACTTTGTTACCTACACTTAAAAAGAAAAAATAGCTCTAATTACTGTACCATTTACATCCTATTTTGTTCCTGAGAAGCAATCTCCACCCCACTCTAATAAATTTACAATTTAATGGATACACAATGGCCTACCAAGTGTTATTCCTATACTTTAGTCAATCCCCTATTCTTAGGGTTTAGGAGCTTACAAACTTTTATTCTTATATTATGAGGAAAATCTTCCCATACATAGTTTTTTAAAAATAATTTTGTTTTTTTCTCCTTAGGAAAGATCTCCAAAATGGGATGACTAGACCATAAGGTTAGATCATCGTCATGGCTCAATGTATAATACTAATTAAGCTGCTTTCTAAAAAAGGTGTGAGCATATTAGTGTATAATGCTATCAACTGCACCAGTTTACACTCCCACCCTGACTTCCCATACTTCAAAGAAAAAATTCCTACTGATGTAAATGAGGAAGTTCACTGTCTCTAATTTGCATTTCTGATTATACAGTTTGACTATTTTCCCGACAGTTACCAGTGTTATTTCCACTTTGGTGAGTTGCCTATCACTTGTAGGTATTATTACGTATTACACCTACGAGGACCCTAAAATGTTGTCAGTTTGCATGAGGTTTTCAGAAAATAGTAATCTTCTGTCTCTAGCCTATGACAATTTTCTATATAACTTGCACTTTTTGCTAATGACAAAAACCACATTTCTATTTTACAGAATGGGTACTTAAGCCATTAGATATTAAACTCAGATACACACACAGTGTTTCTGCACTGTCCATTACTGTTTTCTCAAGAACCTAAGACAAATGTGATAAACTGTACTACCCTATTTGCACTATCACAAAGGTAAGACTGCCAACTATCAAGCAAAGTGTCACCACCTCCCACCAACATGCACATATGCACGCGTGCACAGTGATTTAGAGAGATGTCATGAAATTACTGTACATCTTGTATGTGAACCTACCCCAAATTACTTTTTTTTTTAAGATTTTATTTATTTATTTGACACAGAGAGAGAGACAGTGAGAGAGGGAACACAAGCAGGGGGAGCAAGAGAGGGAGAAGTAGGCTTCCCGCCGAGCAGGGAGCCCGATGCGGGGCTCGATCCCAGGACCCTGGGATCATGACCTGAGCCGAAGGTAGACGCTTAATGACTGAGCCACCCAGGCGCCCCCCAAATTACTTCTTTAGAAACCTCTAAGAATGTTTTAACCTAAGAGAAATACTCCTGAGTTCATGATTAGAAGTTATGATTCAAATTGTATTTTAAGACCCATCATTTTTTTAAATCAATTTAAATTGCAACTTAATTTGACAGCATGACAGGCTGATGTAGGAAAAGTAGGACTTCAAAAAAAAATTAAACTTGGATCTTAATGTAAATACAGAAGAAATCTATAAAAACCACTGACATCCAATACTGCTTTTCCCTTAATCTAAGAGTCCCCCAGTTATAAGATGCACAGATGTTAAAAATGTGAAAATACAGGCAACTTAGAAAAAATGAAATGCATTATCAAAGGCTAAATGTGTAAAATTATGCAACTATAAATGTCAATAAATGTCAAAATATTAGGGAGAGAAGGTAGTGACCAAGAAACTGTCAGAGCAGCGTATTTCACAAAGAGATTGATTTCAATATATTGATTTCAATATATTCCAATTAAATAGAAGATGTCAGCAGTTTCTGGGCCAACTGCTGGGCACCTGTTCACTTACGGCTTCCTGCATTTACTGAACTATGCTCTCATCCCTATACAGTACACTGTGTTCATTTTATGGCCCATTAGCACAAATATTTCAAGTCTTACAATTACCATGTACACTGATGATTTTATCCCTGAGTCCACTCCTTCCAGGTAATTCCTAATTAATTCTCCTGCTTCCTAACTCTGGCTTCCAAGCCACCTCTGTACCTGCGTCTAC